ATCCGTTTGTTTTGCAGGTACAGGCGTCCGGTTCAAGTCTCGGAATTGTAACTCTCCCGCAGGACATCAGAAAACCCCGAAACAACAGTGGTGTTATTGAGGAACGAAATATAACCTTTAAGGAAAATTGTTTGTGACAAATAAGGTATGCCCGAAATGTACTAAATTCGTTCAAACCCTAGTCATTTGCTTGTGTGTATGGAGATACATTCTTTTTTTTTTATATGAAGAGCATTTTCTCTTTTGTCTGTATTAGTAGATCATTTGTAATTGAATTGGGTGTGTTCAATTATAGGTTATGTGCTTAACATGGCTGAGGTGTTTATTTTTGTAGTGTTGGCTTCATGTTAGCAAAGTTGTTGTTTTGGAATTAAATACTGTTTAAACAAATTCCTGGATTAAACTATTTTAACATTTTGAATTGTATTGATTTGTAACTGATGTATTTGAAATTAGACACTTAATTCTGGTGGACGAAATTATGATTTTCAATGTGCTTATGTTATGTGTTCATATATGGAATATTTTTTTTTATTTTATGTGGAGTGACAGTGAGTTGCTATGGTTGGTCTGTTCAGCAATGGCGGCTAATGTTGACAAGGGAAATATAAATAAAGAGTGTGTTGTAGAGACTAATTCTGATGAAAATGGGGATGGTGCTAGAGTGGCCTAATCTTATGTTCCACAGTCTCCTGAAGGGGCACATGTTGTAAGGAATGGGGAATCATCTAGGACCCCAGTTGGGACAGGACAAACTATCCACAATTTCTTTCTAGTAATAAGGTAAATGCAGTGCACACTGCTGAAACTCCAAAGATAGGAATTGTCTTTAAGTCATGGCAAGATGTGGAATAATACTTAAAGGAATATGGTGAGCAATGTTGATTTGGTGTCTCTAGGGTTCAAGGTTCATTTTCTAAGAAGACGGAGAAGAAATATAGGGAGCGTAGGGGGTCCACATGGAGGTTTGAGTGTTGGGGGAGACCCGACATGAGGGTTGTACGGGAGGCAAAGAAGAGGGCTAAAGCCATGGAAGTTAGTGGCTCAGTTGGTGTTGTTGGTGGTCCTACTGCAAAACCTGATATTAATCGTTGCAAGAGGAAGTCTAAAAAGTGTGAGTGTGGTTGGAGGATTTATGCTAGTGTTAATAGTGATGGGGATTGGGAGTTAAAAAAATTTAATCTCAATCATAATAATCATTAAACGCACCCCAGCCAAACTAAGTTAGTGAAGGAGTATCGTATGAAGCAATTTACAAAGAAAGTAGCTGAGAAGCTGATGGTTTTCTATGAGGAGAGGGTTCCTGTTTCTCGTATCCACGAGTGTTTTGCTGCGGAGATGGAAGATGGCTGCAACATGCAAATGACTATGAAGGATATGCAACATGAAGTTTACAAGGCGAGGCGTTTGAAAATGGTAGGGGGTGACTCAGCAGCCCATGATGTCCTACTTTAAGTACATGATGGCTGACAATCAGAACTTTTTTCATGTAAACCATTTAGATGAAAATGGTCGACTAAAGGATGTGTTGTGGGTGGATGATCGTAGTAGGGATACCTATGAATACTTTGGCGATGTAGTTTGCTTTGATTAAACTTACCTGACTAATGAGTACGATTTACCATTTGCGAGAATTTTGTCGGAGTAAATCATCATGGGCACTCTATTCTACTTGGATGTGCTTTAGTTTCTCATGAGGACTCTAATACGTTTCGGTGGATATTTTGGCAGTGGATGTCTTGTATGGGAGGGAAAGCACGAATGGGTATTCTGACTGATCAATGACAAGTGGAAAACTAGGTCGTTATCTAATCTTCCCTCGGTCAAACTAAATTTATAAACACTTAACAAACCTAAATACGAGTATAGAGGCAAGTCAAGGGTCGAACCCAAAGGAACGGTAATGTTCAACCACTTTCACTTATGCGCCTAAATTAGGTCGAAATCAAAGGGTAAAGGGTGAATACTAACAACTAACAAAACAAGTAACCAAAGAAATAAAGCACTAGGAACGGGGATCAACAAGTAATCATGTAAATTGCAACAACTTGGAAAGATCAAGTCAATCAAAGGTTGTGAAGACTAATGATAAGAGCAATCAATTGGAATCAAAGAGCTATCTCCTAATTGTTAATCTAGGGTTCACTATGAATAACAAACTAACATAATCACAATCAAAACCAATCGATAATTGCAATTCCTAAATCAATTGTTCGTGTCATTAGCTATTATAATGCAATCTAGCATAATTCTCAAGGCCTAATCGAATTACACACATGCAAACCTTCATCAATCACTTTAATCTCAACAATTAATTAACACAATTCCCAAATTAATCACAATTAATCAATCATACAAGTTTCATCCAATTCCTAGCCAACAACTACTCTAACATCATCATCTAATCAACAATCAACTAAAGAAATCAAGAATTCACAAAATATCATGAACAATTACACTAAACAAGCATCAAACATCAAAATCAATTCAAACAAACATGAAATTTAATAAAGCAATAAGGTGAGATAGAGTTAAGAATGCTCATTGATAATAGAGAAGATCTTGAAAGCCGCGCCCGCGGAGGAATCGGCCGCACCCGCGAGGCTAGGCCCGCGGCTAGCCCTCTCCAAGTTCCTGGTCGAAAATGGGCAGAAATAGGTTGCGGCAGCCCCGCGCCCGCGGGTACTGTAGCCCGCGCCCGCAGACAGCCCGCGGCAGATTTGCAGGGCCAACTTTGGAAGGCTGTAACTCACAATCTAGGAATTGTATGAAGGCGTGCAACCTATCATTGGAAAGCTCTTCAAGTCTAGTTTTTAAATCAACTTGAATCACCTCAATAAGATCTGTGGAACTTGAGATATGGCTGAATCAATGCACAAAGGTCCTTTTTGATACTTTGCAAGCCTTCATTTTCCTTTGTTTCTTGGATTGGCTTGATTTGCGTGCTTGACTTCCCTAATTGGCTCCGTTAAATTCCTTGAATGCACTTGAGCTCCCTCCTTGATTATTAAATCTGCGGGAACTCGATGTACCTACAAAACAAGACAAAGAAACGGAGAAGCGAGAGAAATAGTCGAGAAATGAATAAAATGATAAGAAAACCATTTAGCACGCATTTCTCTAAACTAGCACAAAAACACGCAAATCGAGAATTATTATCTAAAAAAAACATAAACCACTAAACACGAGCATAGGAATATAAAGAAAACATACCCTAAAGGTGCCATACATGGCACGGATTAAATTCCCCCAAGCTAAATTTTTGCTCGTCCTCGAGCAAAACAAAATCCAACCCAAGGGAAAAATGAAGACATTACTCAAGCAAAGAAAGAAACAAGAAAACTAGAGAAGATGGGAATATACACTAACTCACTTTCGTAGGAATCACGATCAATTTTAGCAACTAAAGACAAGCCATTTAAACCCCTAGATCGCTCTAGAGGATGAGTGATGCTCTCGTAAAGGTTTCCTAAGAGATTAACCTGTAAATCTCATATTAATAAAAAAAAGGAAAAGCATGAAAAAGAAACCAAAATACAAGAAAATCAAACAAATGTTCATGAAAGGACTTTTGCAAATGTACAAGCACAAGTGAATGCAAATCTTTCTAAACAAGTAAGGGAGTGCACTCTCAAAGATACCTAAGGTTGATTGAAACATAAATATGCTAAGCATAGGAACTAGTTATCACACTCCACTTTCATCCCAAACGATCTTACCGCGTTCCCCCTACTAATCTCATATCTCCCCTTAGTGAGCATCTCATAATTTCCACGAAGGAACCGGAAAAAGATCAAATTTATGGCTACTCGACGTCTTGACTACGCATCCCCTTTCCTTAGGTTATAACCCATGATTCCCTCCACCGATGAATGACTTAAACCCTAGGTCAAAAGGTCTTCCAAAGGTTGTAACGTAAGGAAAAAAGGGTTACGGTAGGCTAAATTTAAAATTTGGTGGTTAACCTAAATTGTGAAGCAAAGATTGCGCATTTCTTTACACCATAACCAAGTAATCACCAAAAAAAAAATACCAACACCCCCGAGCTTATTCAAAGCTAAGATCACAAACATATACACAAAAAGCGTGAGAACGCTGCCCCCAAACTTAAATAGAGTATTGTCCTCAATGCTCAAAAAGGAAGAATACTCACATAAAAATATTTTTGCATTTTTCCCTTTTATTTTTCATTTTTCTCGGAATGACCCCCATTTTTCATTTTTTTTTCATTTTTCTTTATTAGTTCTTTGACCTCGCCTCTTTTAACTTTGGACGGATTTTTCAACTTTGCACTTGCTTTGTCCTTGCCTTTTTTTTTTTTTTTTTTTTTTTTTTTTTTTTTTTTTACTTTGGACGACTTTTTCATTTATTCACTTGCCATTATTTACAAAATATACACAACACAAACTTGCTTTCAAGAGAACCAAATATCAAAACTCCTCCACCACAAACTCCAACAATAATGAAAAATTGCTTCACAAAAACCAAGAATCACTAGTGGAAAAAAGGCTATCCGTAACGGGCAAAAAGGGCCCATCCGTAACGGGCAGTGTCCGTTACGTATGTTGCCGTTATGGATGGACATTATTATTCGTAACGGGCACCGTCCGTTACGAATAACTACTTATTCGTAACAGACTACAATGTCCGTTACGAATAAGTAGTTATTCGTAACGGGCGTTTCAAGTGCCCGTTACGAATAACTACTTATTCGTAATGGGCGTTTCAGGTGCCCGTTACGAATAAGTAGTTATTCGTAACGGACATTGTAATTGCTCGTTACGAATAACCCATTATTCGTAACAAACACTTGAAACACCCGTTACGAATAACTACTTATTCGTAATAGACATTATAAGTGCCCGTTACGAATAAGTAGTTATTCGTAACGGACAATTACAATGTCCGTTACGAATAATCTCCGAATAAGACAAAAATTTAGGGGCATTTGTAACTAGCATTTTAGGTGCTAGTTACAAATACCCCTATTCTTCTTTCCATTTACCACCCAAATTATTACAATAATTTATAACAAATCCAAATATTTCATGCCACAAACATATTATCAAACATAACATAAACACCAAATTGGATTTCAGATAAAATTCTTCTTGATTGAACCAACAGACATAGCTACATAGATTAAAGTAAAATTTCAAAAAATAAGTTAGAGACTTCTTAAATGAAGACAATAAGGTCAAAAGTTCAAGAAATAGTATGCTGCCAATTACTTTGTTGGCAATATTCTTGTTCAACTTCATCAAGCTTTTCATGATTAGTAGTTTTCGGAGTCTCCTTTCCACATATGCTCAAATCTTCTACTTCATGAGTACATCTTGTTTCTTGAGCCATAGTAAATCTTCTGGTACATGATGTCTCGGACATTTCTCTATCTCTATCCTCAACATGAAAAGGATTAATACTGCCATTCTTGATTTCTTCGTCACCAGTGTCTCTGTCTTCAGCAACATCAATAGAACTTTCCTGCCTCCTAAAACATCAAAAAAAAAAAAATCATAGGTAGCAAATTAAGAACCCTAGCCCAAACACTAAGTCAGCCACTAAAACACAAATACAAGACAAGCAATCAATTTGAAAGATTTGCAAAGTTTTAGAGAATCCAATGCTTAGAAAAATTAATAAAATTGAGGGACTAGCACAAGGAGCCAGCCATACAAGTATCATAATGGGCATATAGGGATATTTTCACATGTTTCAATAACGGCACACCGTAACCAAATTAACAGTTTTTTTATTTATTTTTTTTTTTTATTTTTTTTTACACTAATCCAAAATCCCAAAAATCCAAAATCCCCCAAACTTATTTTACATCTAAAATAACCCTGAACTTCCAACAACACAGGTGATATTGTCTTGTAAATATCCCTCATAACAGTCATGACTCATGAAACTTCATTATTGTGAAAAAAAAGTCACTTTGAAAATAACCAACAGAAGTATCAAAAAAAAAAAAAAAGAAAGAAAATAACCAACAGAAATTTCTAGAATTTTATTTTTATCTCTAGCTTTGAACAACTGTTCTACAAAAATTTTAATTAAGGTATAAGTATTATATGTCAGGAGAAAGAGACAAGCAAGATGATTTGTAAGTGTTCACTGAATTACCAACTATAAGCATAGTACACAATGAGCCCAGAAGCAGGATGCGACTTTTGCAGAAGACATTTTCTAGCGGTAACTTTAACATCTTTTACTAAATTAGCGACACAATCAAGTGAATTAATAAGGTTAAACATATGCCTAGAACATGGGTTCATAAGACAGATGTGCAAGTAACTTCTATCTAGGCGATATCTTCAAATGATGCTCTATTTAAGTTTTACTGTTTGGAATCATGTTCAGGTTTAAAAGATATAGGATATAAGGTGCTTTTCTTTATATTGTAGTTGCTGCATTCCCTCATTTATAAAACGATAGGCCATTTCCAGTATTTATAAAGGATAAACAGCTATTCTAGATTCAACAAAAGCAAAACACAGACTATAGGTAAATTAAGGCAGGGAGGGACATCAAATGAATTCTTAATATATGAATCATCAATCTGAGAGAATAGCATGAATGCGGTAAAAAAAAGCAAAGGTGAGCAACTGACCCAGGAGGAAATTTGCTGTCAGCTCGAGCTTCTACGCAAAACCACCAAATAAAAACCTTGCGGCCACAGCTTCCAAGAGGTTCTACTATAGAGGGATATTTTAGTAGTGAAAGGGGGCTTTCTACGCTATCATCAGCTTAAACATCCAAATCCTTCATCCATTCTAGCTTATCATCAACATTATCCTTCCAAAGCAACCTTGAATTTAACACAAACCCAGCCCACTCAACCTTCCTTGGTAAAACAGTCCAAATGTCTCCAATGTGAACCGAGCTCTTCTCTACATAAGGACTTGTATCAAAAGTGTGCCAACCTACTAAACTGTCCAATGAATTACATGCTGGACCCTGGATAGGCAACGAACTCTCGTCATTCTCTATCTTCTCCATTCGCAAAGGCTCGTTAGGATCACCTGAATGCACAATAATTCCAACAGAAAGAGCCCCAATATTGTTCACTTTCTGCACCTCATCAAAGAACTCCATACTATGCATATTACTATCATCAGCAAAAACCACTAGACCATCCAATATCCGGTCTCTCACCAATCTGCCTCCACCACAAAATTAACCATCATCAAAATTCAATTACATTTTAAGTTTTGTGTTACTATAAGATACATTTTACACTATGAGTTAACTCGAATAAACTCTAAGCTTGATGACACAACATGACTAACCTTATTTACCTATATCGTACTAATTACATGACCCGACTCAAGCAAAATTCGAATTATAAGATACATTTTATACTATGAGTTAACTCAATAAACTCTAAGCTTGATGACACAACACGGCTAACCTTATTTAACTATATCGTACTTACATGACCCAACTCAAGTAAAATTCGAATTATAAGATACATTTTATACTATGAGTTAACTCGAATAAACTTTAAGCTTGATGACACAACACGACTAACCTTATTTAACTATATCGTACTAATTACATGACCCAACTCAAGCAAAATTCGATTTGACTTGGAATTTTGCATAATATCATGTGCTTAACTCACATTACAGTAGCTATATAAGAGAAAACACAATCAAAAAGAAAATCTGAAGCATAAGAATCCATAAACTGCTTAAAAAGAAAGAAGAACAAATTGCGTAATACTACTAAACTTATTACATTCAACTAACTGAGCAAAGTTCTTGACACAAATCAAACACTTACAACTGATGAAAATCAATAAACAAACACAAACTGCTGACTGACACACACACACTACTAACATGCATGATTAGAAACCTCAGCATCAACCTAAAACTGAGTATAATCATACTTATTGACACACTAAGTAAAATCAAATCACTAACATACTAAAACACCTAGACTTAAAGACTGATTATAATATGTAGTCTGACATAAGAGAATTGATACTTAGGAAAAGTTCAGTATTTTAATAAAGATAGGATCACAAGTTCAGTATTATAAGTAGAAAAGAATTTTACTACTTAGCTAAAAGAAAAATAACCAAATAAGCATACATATGAAATTGAAAGCTCTAACATACTAGATGAGGAATCAAAGATAAGATTAAGACAATAACTATTGTATACACATTGTAATACCATATAAATTATCGGTTAAAAAACAATGATCGGTAAAAATGCATACCATAAAAACTTTAGCACCAGAATTAAGAGCATAAATGACAATCTTTCTCTCATTTGGACCCATAATCTCAACCCTCCTATCAGCAACCGCAGGAGGTGATGCATCACACACCCAATCACTTTCCCTGATCATCCTAGTCGTAGGATCGAACCCCGGTAACGCCCCGCTATTATACTTAGCCTTAGCCTCCTTCATACACTCCATAACATACTTAATATGGCTCCTAAACTCCCTTTGTAACTCAACAACAAATTGCAAGGCATCCTTAGACAGGATTTTCGCAAACTCGTTGTCGTACCTTCACAATTAAAATTCAACAATTAAAAGAATTCAAACTCAACAATTAAAACCCAATTCATAACAAAATTACCACCAAAATTAAATAATTCATCAGCCAAAAAAGATAAAATCATCAACCGATAATAATTCCGTAAACAGAAACATCATCAAGAAATTAATCATCCAAAATGTGATAAATTAAAATAAGAAATTAAAGATCTGTGAGTTTAAAGCCTAAATCTTCAAACAAAAAATTATCAAACATTTGACATAAATGCAAGAAAAAAAGGAGAAGAAATAGGCGAAACCAAAGCAGGAGTATCACTGCCGCCACTTTGCAGAGATCTGGCGGATGATCGTCGGATTTTCTTCTTATCGGCGTCGATTTTCTTCAGATTATCAACCTCTTCTGCACAATCGAGCTTAATCCACAGAGAAGGTCCTTATTCCTTCTTCCCTTCTTCATTTGAGTGAGGAGAATATCCTATATCCACAGAGAGGAAATAAAAATGGAGGAGATTGAGTGATGAGAAGAGAGAAATTGAGTGAGGAAAAGAGAGAGTGAAATGTGACGGCTAAGGAAGAGAGTGAAATGTGTGAATATGGGGTATGACGGCTTAAGGAGAGTGAAATGTGAAACCCTAATTATAAGAATGGGCCTTTGTCATCAGCTGGACCCTATTCACATATTTGTAACGGGCACTATCTTGTCCGTTACAACTAATACTTATTCGTAACGGGCTTTATCTTGCCCATTACAAATAACATAGTTTTCGTAACGGGCAAAATAGTGCCCGTTATGAATAATATATATTTGTAACGGACTGTTAGTTTGACTGTTGATATGTCCATTTATATAGTAATTTACCCCCGTCCCTTGGTTTTAATTAGTAGTGTTTTTGGCTCTTTCGAGCCACTTTTATTACTAATTTGTGTTATCTAGTGTTTTCGTAGTTTTAGTTGTATTTTACAAGAAATTTCACTTTTGGAGCATTTTACCGGGTTTTATGGATCAACTACGGAAGCTAGAAAGACACGACCACTTTTGGAGCCCAGGATCGGTGACAACCAATGATTAAGGGCTCGGTATGAGATACCAAGGCTATTGGATTGTTTGATCAAGACCCGATGAGGAAACTTAGATTGGGCTGAGGATTTTATCCCGATCGAAATCCAAGCCTCGAAGAAGAAGACCGGGCCCGATCAGGCAAGCATACGCCCGATCGGGCGGCTGCGCGCAGAAAGACCCTCAAGGAAGAGGCGCGCCCGATCGGGTGAGCATAAGCTCGATCGGGCGCGGCACACCAGCAGCGGGCAAGGAAAAAAGGCGCGCCCGATCGGGCGGCCTTTAGCCCGATCGGGCGCGTGTTTCTGGAAGGCTTTGTTAGACGAGCACTTAGTTTCTAATTAGGAGTTGTTTAGTTGGTTGTTTAAGTACGATTTATGTACGTAATTTTGGATTACCTTTCTTCTTTAGATTTTTCTCTCTCTACTTAGAATATTTCTCTCTCTAAATTTCCCTCTCAACTCTGTTCTTAATTATTTTCATTAATACAGATTTCCTTTGGTAACTATTTCTCTTCCCTTAATCTTCGTTGTTATTTTGTTCCTTTAATCATGTCTTGCTTTATTGCTTTGATTAGTTTAGTTTCTATCATGTGTGAGTAGTTTTATTTCTAGGATTTATGGGGATCCTTAAATAATATGAAGGGGTAATTTATTGTTCTTAATTATCAATGCTAGATTAATTTCCTATTGATTGATTTAATGATCTGTGACTAGATTAAGCCTGATCTTTTATGCATGAGTTTGACAATATTGATTCGAGATTCGACAGATGAGAATTGATGTTTAGGTCTAGTTTCAATAGGCAGATTAATTTATAAATGGTTAAGTCAAGATTCGAGAGATGAGATTTAATACCGGTAGATTAACTCTGTGATTGTAATACGTAGCGAAATCCCTTTACGATTTGGTTAATTGATGCATTGATGATTGACTATTATTGATTTTTGATATTGCATGATAATTTCTTATTAAATTGTTTTAATGCTTTATAATTATGGCTTGTAAAAGTATAGCAATATTGAATTGATGAATCGAGTAGATATTAATTTGATATTAAAGGCTATTTTCAATAGGAACTTAGATCTAATAAATTGCGAGAGCCTGTTAGATCTATGTTGATTAATAAATTGCGAGAGCCTGTTAATCATGTTATTTATGCAATGTCAATGATTGATTATTATGTTTTACCCTGGAGTATTATTTATTGGTGAACCTATGCCCTAGATCCTTTTATATATTGTTTCTCCCTATTCTCAATCTTCGTAGTTTAGTTTATTATTCAAATATAAATATTGGTTACTTCATTATCTAGATTATATTATTTAATTAGGAATAGAAAGACTCGTTTCCCTGTGGAGTTTGACCCTACTTCCCTATCTACTTTAGTTAGAGGACTTAGGTAATTACTTTTGATTAGGGGATTCGACTTTATCCAGTCAAAATTTGGCGCCGTTGCCGGGGAAACGGTTTTATTTTTATTTCTGATTATTTTTGTAGTCTAGGTTATTTTCTTTTTGTCTTAGAGAACATTAGTTCTCTGAGGAAAATCTCATATTTGCTTCTAGTTTTTGTTTATGCCCAGGTGTTCCATATCAGGGTACATCCCATTCGATCCTGAGATCGAACGTTCCTTCCATAGACAGAAAAATCTCTACAAGAAAATTGATAGGGTAAAGTCGTATCCCCTAATAAAAAATAATTACCTAAATCTCTAACTAAAGTAGATAGGGAAGTAGGGTTGAACTCCACAGGAAAACAGGTCTTTTTAATTCTAATTAATTATTATAATCCAAATTATCTAAGTAACCAATAATTTTAGGTATGAATTCTATACTACGAAGAATAAGTTTAGGGAGAAAAGAAATAATAATAAGGAAGCCTAGGGTCACAGGTTCACCTATAATTAATATTCCGGGATAGAACGAAGTAATTAATAATTAACAATGCACAGATAACATGATTAACAGGCTCTCGCAATTTATTAATCAACATAGATTTAACAGGCTCTCGCAATTTACTAGACCTAAGTTCCTATTAAAATTAGCCTTTAATATTAAATCAACATCTGCTCGATTCATCAATTCAATATTGCTAAACATTCACAATCAAATTACATCTGCTCGATTCATAATCTAATTGCAAAGAATTAAAACAATTCAATAGGAAATTGTCATGCAATATCAATAATCAATAATAACAAACTCTATCCCTTCATATAGATTATGGATCCCCATAAACCCTAGAATGAAACTACTCACTAATCATCATAACTAAGCCAATCAAGTAAATAATTAAAAGCATAATCAAGAAAGCAATTAAAATAGCTGAAATTAAAAGGGAAGAAATTGTACCAAAAATTAAATCTGGAATTAAAGGAAGTATTAAGAACAAAATTTTAGAGAGAATTTAAGAGAGAGAAAAATACTAAGTAGAGAGAGAAAGTCTAAGAAAGAAGGTAAGCTAATAATTCCGTACATAATCGTATTTAAACCTTTCCTAAAACAAGAATTAAAACTAAACTAACAAGCTACTAAGAAAAACACGCGCCCGGTCGGGCGAAGGGCCGCCCGATCGGGCCTGCCTTTTTACTCTGCCCTTGCTTGGTATGCTGCGCCCGATCGAGCCTACGCTCACCCGATCGGGCGCGCTTCTTCCTGAGGCTTGGATTTCGATTGGGCTCGATTCCTCGGCCCAATCGGATTTCCTCATCGGGTCTTGATTAATTGATCTAATAGCCCCGGTATCACATACCGAGCCCTTAATCACCGGCTCTCACCGATCCTGGGCTTCAAGAGTGGTCTGTCCTTCTAGCTTCCGTAGTCGATCCATAAAGCCCGGGAAAATGCTCCAAGAGTGCAATTTCCTGTAAAATACAACTAGAACTACGAAAACACTAGAACACACAAATTAGTAATAAAAGTGGCCCGAAAGAGCCAAAAACACTACTAATAACGACCAAGGGACGGGGATAAAACACTATATAAAATGGACATATCAAGCTCCCCCAAGCCAAACCTTTGCTTGTCCCTAAGGAAAGAGCTCATCAATGAACATATAAAACATACTTCACCCCAATAATCAAATAAAAAACCAACGATTCAAGGCAAATCTAATGAACACACTTCAACATCAATCAATCTTATTCATCTAATCACCCTTCCTCCCCAACAATTGTCAAGTAGAGCAAACCACAAGAGCATATAGAATTCAAGACTAGTGCTCACACACTCAACTCTCATTTATGTGGCGAGTAAAGAATGTACTCGATCGCTCTCCAACCAACCCCTTAAATGTGAAAAATGCCCTCCCAACTCACACTCTCGTGTGTATAAAAACATTGAACGCTCATCCTACTAGTCGACTCGAAATATGCCAAGTCATAACTTGCATTGATAAACAACACTTTCACATTTACACAACTTCTATGCACAAGGTTGGAAGGTCTTTAAAGCTTGTAATGTAAGGCTAGGGTAAAGGTAGGATAAATTTGGGATTATGTGAGAGAAAAGCTATGCTAAAAGGGAGCCAAATCCTAATAAACCCATGATAAAAATAATGATCATACACATCTCCAACATAACCAACTCCAACAACAATCCACCAAATATACTCCAAACAATATAAACAATCCCAACACTCACAATTTCACTCATAAAAATATGATAATATGGAACAAGAGTGAATAACAAACTTTAAACTCATAACTTGAAATATTTACATTGAAACTCAACTTTTTTTCTTTGTTTCCTTTTGATTAACCTTCACTTAGAACATTTGAACATCAAACACTTTTTTTTTTTTTTTTTTTCTTAGAAGTTCACTTTCTTTTTTTTTTTTTTTTTTTTTTTCAAATTTCTCACTTTTTATTTTTGAACTTTTTTTTTTCATCACACTTTTTTTTTTCTCAAATATATACAACTTTTAAACTCATTAAAACAAAAATATGATCAAGAACAAATTACTTCTCAAAACCCACCCAAATTGTGCAAATAATGTGCACACTACAAACTCCCTCACCTCACTCACTAATAGCTCCCCCAAGCCAAGCTTGGGACTAGTAACCAATGGGGAAATTAAGGCTTGTAATGTGGCTATAAACAATAAAAAGTCAAGGCAACAACATGGGTAGCAAGAAGGGAATAAATGTATCTAAATAAATCTGAAGGCTACCTAAAAGAACAAGTGCATTCGTCCTCCTGAATGTGCATAATAATGAATCATATAAACATTACTTATAGTTGCAAACCAATACTCAAATTCATTGACATACCAGTAAGTATGGAACTATCACACATTCCTTACCAAATCAACTAGTCAAGCACTATATTCACAAGTAGTTGGACAAAATTGACGCATGTTTAGGAATCCAAGCAATCAAACTTCAAATCATGACCAACAAATCCACAATTCTCATTATCAATAACCAAGAATCAAAACAAAATTTTCTCAAGTACGGGGCACAGGGAAGCATGATTTACAATTCATTGGAACGTATTTTTGAATTATTTTTTTTTATGTTTCAATTTTTTTGTATTTTTCATATATAAGAAAGCAATAAAAACTACACTAGGAAAGCAAATAAAAACTATACTAGAAAGCAAATAAAGAGAGAAAAGGAAGAGAATTACCAAGTGAAAGAACACCCCCCAAGACAAATCAAGCAATGCCCTCATTGACTTGGGAGAGTAGCCTACTCCTCATCCTCATCCATCCTCGAATAGCCCCCATCGT